GAGAAACAAGTTCTTTGCACGGTCTCAAAATATCTCCCCAAAAAGTACTTATTCATTACAAAGGCCAAAATCATAACTTTTTTTCTGGTACTAGAAATTGAACTCAGAACCTTGCACTTGCCAGGCAGGCTCGGCGCCACTGAGCTACATCCCTGGCCCAATAATAAATTTTATGCTTTTAAATATTCAGTATTGGGCCAGGGATGTAGCTCAGTGGTTTCGCCACCTGCTGCGCAAACACAAGGACCCAAGTTCGATCCTGGATAAAAAAAAAAAAAAAAAAAATTTCAGTATAAAATTTTTACAAGAAAATACAATAAAATCTCTGGGGCTTAGCACTGACTTCAAAAGCATTACCTAGAAAGGGGAAAAAATGATAAATTGGACTTTAAGAATCAACAGACTGGGAGAAAATACTTGCAAATATATACTTGACCTAGGACTCATACCTACAATATGTAAAGAACTCTCAAAACAAACAGGCTAAGCTAACTACAAGGAGGGATCAAGAGATATGTGAATGTTTGAGTTTTTTACAAAACTTATTACAGTACAAATACATTGCCAAGAAGGATGGGATAAGTATGTTTGAAGTGAGTAGGAGTATTTGGATGGGGGTTAATAGCAACATGTCTTCTGCCATAATAAACTTTAAAAAAAAATTGTAAACATTCACCATATATTTTGATCACACCTCATATGATAATTTAGAAAATGGGCAAAAGATATGAACAAATATTTCATCTACAGATGGCAAATAAGTACCTAAAAATACAATCAACACCATTAGTCACACCATTGTCCAAACATTATTGTATTAGGGAAAAGCAAATTAAAACTGCAATGAGATATTGCTACACCCCTATCACAATGGCTAGAACAAAAAAGTGATAACACCACATACTGGTGAGGATGAGGAGAAACTGATCACTTATACATTGCTGATGGGAATGTAAAATAGTACAACCATTCTGGAAAGTGAGTTTCTTAAAAAAAACTTAATATGCACTTAGGGGTATGTATCCCAGAGAAATGAAAATCTGTGATCATATCAAAACCTGTAAGTGAATGTTCATAGCAGCTTTTTATTCTTAATACCTAAAAACTGGAAACAGTTCCAGATATCTTTCAACTGATGGAAGGTTCAACAAACTGATATGTCCATACCATAGAATGCTATTCAACAATGAAAAAGATAATTCCACTATCAATATTGCCAACACTTTGGATGGATCTCAAGGATATTATCCTGTGTGAAAAAAATCAATCTTAAATCAAAAAGCAATCTTACACAGTGTATTCCACTTATATGACATTCTCAAAATGACAAAATTATCGCAATGTAGAAAGGATGAGTGGTTACCAAGGGTTAGGAAGGGTGCAAAGGCAGGGTGTGACCATACAGGGACAGGTAACACAAGGGTTATCTGTGTCAATGGCACATTTCTGTATCTTAATTCAGGGGGACAGCTACAAAAATTAACACGATTACACTGAATGAACCCATACACACAAATGAGTGTACGTAAAACTGATGAAATCTTAACAAGGTCTGTGGATTGGGCCACTAGCAATTTTCTGGTTTTGTACGATATTAACCTTGGGATAAATGAGGAGAAGGGCACATGAAACTTCTCTACTCTTTTTGCAACTTCCCATGGATTTATAATTATTTGAAAATAAAAAGTATAAACAAAACTTTCCCTAGCCCTACCTTTTTTCTCGATTCCCAAAAGAATTATTTACTTACTACACAAAGAATCCCACTAAGTTCCAGTTACACTCATTGCCCACGTCTAGTCCTCAAAATTACCAAAAGCTTTCCAGCCTTAGAGCTTTCACCTAAACAGTCCCCTCCAGAGGAAAAAAGAGTAGTTTTTGCATGTGACCTCCAAACTTCAAATTACAGGGCACTGATTTTTTATTTGTTTTAGACAGGGTCTCACTATGCAGTCCAGGCTGCCCTGGAGCTCACTATGTAGCCCAGGATGGCCTCAAACTCGCGGTGATCCTCCTGCCTCAGCCTCAGGTGTGCTGGGATCACAGGCCTGTGCCACCACGGCCGGCCCAGGACACTGAATTTTGCAGGCTTTGGTAGATGCTTCTCACAGAGAGAACTCTGTGAAGTGTGCCGGGAACTGACTGATACAAACCTAGTTCAGGACCTTCCAAGCAACACCAAGGATGGCAGGTAATACACAGCACATTTGCTAGAGCGCGCTGCCCTTTTTCCCTCAAAACGGCCACCTACGGTAGAGATTAAGAACCTATTCGCCACTGAGCCTTTAAGGAGACTGGGCAACCGCCCGCTGGACTACGTGCAAGGGTAAATTCAAAGCCAGACCCGCCCCTGACCTCTACACAACACTGCTTTCTCCTCCGACCCATAAATGCACGAGTGAACCCTGCGGAGCGGTAGCTGCTGGGATCCCGACCTTCCCTCACGGCCGGGACGGGGCAGGACGAGCGGGGGCCCAGGTCCAGCACGCGGCACCGCGGGGGAAGAAGCAGTGCAGGCGGCGGGGTCGCGTCAGCGGCCACTCACCTGGTGCTGCCGCTGCGGACACCCCAGCACAGCGGCCAGGGCCTCCCGGGCGCCGGCCCTCCCGCCCGGGGGAAGCCCCCGGGGAACTCCCCCCGGGCCCGTCTGCAGGCACCACCCAAGAAACGCAGCGCTGGTACCATCGCCTGCGCCCACTCCCCGTCCTCGGCCCCCAATGACGGCCACTTGAACCCGACGCGGGGCCGGCTGCTCTCTGGCCCCGCCCCCATGCGGGGACCAATGAGGGACGCGCTTTCGCCTCTCGTAGGAACGGCGCCGGTGGCCAATGAGCGCCCGCGGCGCAGGGCGAAGGGCAGGCCGGCGCGTCGTCGACGCACGGACGCACGGGCGCTCGCTCGCTCCCGGCGACGCCGTGAGTAGCGCAGTTTAGGCCTCGCGTGGGGCGGGACTAGGGTGGTGGTCACTCTCTGCCCTTTCCCTCCTCCTCAAACTGGGCTGGTGGAAAAATCTGGCGTGGTTTAGACTTTCACTGCCAAATGGACTGGGGTCGCGCAGAAAGGCTGGGCTTATTGCGGTGGAAACGCTCTTCCGGGCGGGCGAGCGGCCTCCCTGTCCGCCCGGCCAGCCGCGGCCCCTCCTGACGAGGCTCCGGTCGGTGCCTTGCGATCAGTTATTGATTCATGTTGTAAATATCGAGCGCCTACTCCTCTGGGCCAGGCACTGGGTCCTGGATGAACCACACAGCGTAGGCTTCCATTATTTAGCAATCTGGAACCTTTTCTTAAATACTGGGCCGAGCTACAGTTATAATGTGCTGTCCGGACTCGCCGGCCACTTCACCTCTGCTTGCTTACCTGTCAGATGAAGGTGGTGGGCTCTGTTTTCTCTGAAGGACTTCGTAACTGTAAGATTATGTGACTGTCACCGGGCCAACGTAGTACCCGATCTGTTTGCTTCGTGTCGGTTTTTGATATTTAGGGCCAAGACAGCTGAACAGAACTAAATTAGTCTTTTTGAATCTTGGTGCCAATCGTTTGTCACCTCCGCCTTAGGCTCTCCTCTGTGAACTAGGGGCGTTACACCAGATTACCTTCAGAAGTTGATCACGGTGAAGTGTTAGGTTAATGACAGTTTTATTATGTTTAAATGTTTTTACCACAATGACAGTAGTATGTATTTTTGCTTTACCTGTGGGATGGAGGGGAGAGTAGAATATTACCTGCTTCTTCTATCACAATGAAAAACAAAAGGTTCTTTTTGTCAGACACACACACCCACCCCACCCCACACACATCCCATCCTGGTGATTGACCCAGGGCCTTCTCACTGAGCTACATCCCAGCCTTTTATTTTTTTTTAGCGGGGTCTCCATAAATTGCTGAATTCCCCAGGCTGGACCCCAACTTGCAACCCTCCTGCCTCAGGCTCCCATGGTACTGGGATTACAGGCGTGTGACACCATGCCTGGCTAAAAATGGTTATATTTAAAATTCACCGTTTCATGTTGACATAATTGTAGATTCCCATGCAGTTGTGAGAAATAATAGTTTCTGTGTACCCCTTGTCCATCTCCCCTAGTGATAGCTTGTTGTAAAACTATAGTGAAATATCACAACCAGGCAATTGACATTGACACGGATGTACTCAGATTTCCGAGCTTTACATTGCTGTGTGTTTGCATTTAATTGTATAAAGTATCATGTTTATAGATTCTTGTATCCACCGTCACCATCAGGATATAGTATAGTTCCATCACAAGAATCCCTCTAGATCCCCTTTCATAACCACAACTCCTATACCCCTCTCACCAATCTTCCTTTCTAAATTTTGTCTTTTTAAGGTTATATAATCATATACTATGTAATTTTTTTTCCCAGTACTGGGGATCGAACCCAGGACCTTGCACTTGGGAGGCAAGTATGGCGCCACTGAGCTAAATCCCCAGCCCTGTGATTCTTGACTATTGGTCTTTTGCACTTAATATAATCCCTTGAGATTCATCCAAATTGCTGTATGTATTGATAGTTCATTTCTTTTCATTTCTGGGTAGCATTCCATAATCATAATGTACTACAGTTTAACCATCCACTCATTAAAAGCCATCTAAGTTGTTCCAGGTTTTAGGTGTCAAAAATAAAGTTGTTTTGAACATTAGTGTAAATCTTTTTGTGTGAACATGGTTTTCTTTCTCTTTGTGTTCAGGAGTCCAATTACTGGGTCATCTGCCTGGTATGCTCTTGTTTAATTATTTTTTTTTTTTGGTACTGGGGATTGAACTTGCGAGGCAGGTGGCAGAACCACTGAGCTAAATTCCCGGCCCAGCTCATGTTTAATTTTGAAAGAAATTACCAAACTGTTTTCAGAGTGGCTGAATTATTTTACATATCTACCAGCAATGTTTGATCCAGTTTTTCCTCATTGTCACCAGCATTAGGTTTTATCATGAATGGTTTATTTCAACCATTTTGATAGGCATGTCATAAAGAGGTGGGGTTTTTGGTTTTTGTTTTTGTTTTTAAATGTGTATAAGATATAGTTGATTTGATAGTAGGTTGAATACAAAATTATATACAGTGCTCTCAGGGTCTGTGATCAGAGTATTATGGGCCAGATGGGCCCATTGTATTTTTTTTAATTGCTGTGTGATTTTTGAGCATATATTTCTTAGTTTAGCAAGGGTAAAAGAACAAACTCATTACATAGGTTGTTTTTTGTACAGTTTTCTCCCATTGCCCATTCCCCTTCCCAAGGCTTGTAGAGTGGTTTGTTTGAATCAAGTAACTTAAATCAAGAGCTGGTCTTGCATTCATACATCCTGTAATGTCTGTGGGAAGAGGCATCTGTTTTCTTGACATGATTGAGAATTCGGGTTCACCTTCAATTTTAGACTAGAACCTAGAAGTTTGTTCAATGAGTCCCTTGATGGCTTAAGAATGGCTTTTTAGGAACTTTGCCTTCAATCCCTAATGAATTGCTCTGTTGATCTATTTCACTTGAATGACTCTACATACCTGAAGAATAAGAGGTAGAATCAATAGTGGGTGATTTTATGGTGGGATAGGCTTATAATTAGGGAAAATTCTCCCTCATTTGGATGCCTCCACCTCTCCACATTAGCTTAAGACCTAGTTCAGTCTTCGAGCACTGTCTTAGGCATCACTCTGACTAGCCCACTTGATAATTGCATTTAATATATAACTTTCATAGATCTCACTTTTTAAAAATTCACTCAAACCTACTCAGATGACACTGAACATGACCTATTTTGAGTAATATGTTAGAGGTCTTGGCTTGTCTGAGTCACACACATAATAGCTTTTTAATTTTATTTATTTATTTATTTATTTATTTGGTACCAGGGTTCAAACTCCAGACCTTGAGCTAGCCATATAATGGTAGCTTTTAAAAGCACTGTTACAAACTTATAGCTCTAAACCAAATTCTAATAGTAAGTTTGGTGTGTTTTATCTTCCATAATTTGAGTTCCTGGATTATTTATGGCACCAATAATTTAGTAATGATTATTTTTAAATTTATTTTTAATTGCTTTCTCTTCCCTTATTAGAGCCAGATTCACTATCTTACCACTAGAGGTCTCCTCTTCCCTTGTGGAAAGCATTCTCAGGGGTAGGAGCTGAAACTCAAACAAATACATTTCCCAAATCTCAGCAAAGTTGCAGTTGAAGATGTGAAGACTTGCCATTTTCAGCCTTTATTGCCAAGTATAAATTTAGCGTTTTATTTTAAATACAATATCTAGTGGCTTTAGAGATGGCTGGGCTGAATTTGGCTTTCCCTTTAGACTGAACTATAAAATGGGCCAAAATGAAACAGGTAGAAGTATTCAGTTTTTAAGACAATACTGTTTCACCTGCTTAGTAACATTTTCTCTGATTTGACTTTTATCCATGGATATATGCCAGTCATAGAAGACTATTAACATATTTATTAAACTTTTGCATTATACTGAGAAAAAATGGAAATGAATAAGATGTGATCTTTGCACTTCCTTTTGCTCCAAGTACTTTTTTTTCTTCCTAATTTAGAATTCTTAAGTCATATTTTAAGACATCTCAAGAGATACCTTCGGTATGAATCCTCACTCCCTTTTCTAGGCTCTCATGGCACCTGTTCACATCTCTAATAAGATGTCACTTTGGACATAATTTATCTATTTACATGTCATCTGCCTTCATTACACTGTACATTTTCGAGGACAGGAACCATGCCTTTATACCTCTATGTCTCTTTCTCCTCTGTTGTTGTAGCTTCCCATTGTTTCTTTTGCACTAATGATAGCAGATATTCAATAAGCATTTATTAAGTGGATATGAGTAGATGGACATGGATTTTGAGTCAGTTTTGAGATTGGATAAGCATTCCACAGACAGGTTTGGGGTGGGGTCAGTAAAGGGACCCACCTGAAGAGAAGCTGGGAAAAACCCAGATTTTCAAATGAGGCTGGCAACCAATGGAGTTATTACAGGTAGGCATAGGTGGAGAGAGCTTCAGCAGAAAGCTGAGAGGAGGGGGCAGAACAGAAGTTTGTAGTAATGAAAACAGAAGTGATGGAGAGGGGACGAGGCCGGCGGGGATAAACAGCTTGGTGGAAAGGTGTTTATCTAACCCATCCAAGGCACTGGGTTCCATCCCCAGCACTGGAGAGAGTAGATTGATGGAGGGAGGGAGGGAATAAAGAGGACAGTAGGGGAAAGAAAGAAAAGATAAAGGGCAGTAAGTGATTCCCAGACTCTGTGCTCAGGCTTCCTCTCTCACTGTTCCACTACCTCAGCATCCTCAGTGACTTCCTCAGCTCTCAAGTGGTTCACTCTCAGGCATCTTCCTAGTCATCTTCTTTCTCTTGAGTCCTAGAACCATCTAGTGATTGAGGAATGGGCTCTGGACTGTAGGAAAGAGAAATGGGTTCAAGTTTCAGCACTGACACCAATTAGCTAGAAGACCTTGAGCAAGTCCTTTTAAATACATCCATGTATTAATGCCCCACCTTGTTCCAGAAAGGATTTAGTGTGTCAGCAAGTTACTTAATATCAGGGCTTCAGTTTCCTCATCTCTAACTAAGAAGGTCAGCCTAGGTGATCTGAGTTCCTTCCAGCTCTAACACTTTGTGACTGTTGATTCTAATGATTTTTTTTTTTTGGTCATCTCCATTTAGGATTCCTACCACCACTTCATATTTAAAAACTGAAAAACTGAAATAGAAACAAAAAATGGAGCCAACAACCTGTCCTACTGCTGTTGATTTCTGTCAGCAACATTGCTATCCTACCTGTGACCCAGCACCAAAACTTATCTTCAACTCCTCTAGCCTTTCTCACTTACTGAGCTGCATGGACTCTAATTGTAATATCCTTCCTGCTTTTCTCTGACTAGTAGGCCCTTTCCTATGGCCACATGTGGTTTAAAACCCTGTTTCTGTCCCTGTCTGTTGACCCTCAGTTTTCTAAGTCAGGGTGGTCTCACTGCGTCACCCAGGCCAGCCTCAGATTCCTGGGCTCAAACTATCTTCCTGCCACCATGCTTGGCTTGACCCTCAGTCCTGATGCTGCTGTCTAAATACATTTCCTGAAGCACAGCGGCAGCAATGCCAGTGCTCTGTTCTAAAACCTCAGCGGCTCCCAACTGCTGTGAGAGTATCTTCCAAATTCCTTGGCAGGACATGTCTGCATCTTCTCATGACTCCTGTCTGCTAGCCAAACTGATGTACAATGTGCCTCAGATTTTCCTGCCTTGGCTAATAACCTAGCATAACTTTTCCTGGCGTCTTTGTTGAAATCCTCTCTGTCCTTATTTTAACTCTTTTGAGGCTTTATCCTCATGTCATTTAACTATTTGGTAACTTGTCTAGGTCCACTCCATCTCGCATTAAATTGTTAGTTCCCAAAGGCAGAGACAATGTTTCATTCATCTTTGTTCCCCTGTACATACCTAGCATGCTACTAGAAAAATTTGAATTGCAATAAATCATATTCAGACCTAGTACAAAAATCACTTTCTCTGCTCATGCTTATAGATTTTCACAGCTGCAAATCTTTTACAAGGGAGAAAACCCAGGATCAGAGAAGTGGAGTTACTTGGCCAGACTTTCCCAGCTGCCCTTGGAGTTCCTTGTTGTGCTCTGGTGACCCTGTGAGCAACATTATCATCAGTAGACCTTTCATGACTCCTCTCTCTTTCTGGATGTAGGCATCTCAGAACATGGCTTCCTGGATCATTACAATTTGTCATTTTGATACTGGAGATAGATTGGGAGTGCAACTGGTTTGAGCAAATTTGTAGTTCTGCTGCCTGAACAGACACTAGGTGGCAACAGTGCAACTCCAATTGGGGTTTGAACAATGGAACTAAATGCTGGAAGGAGCCTTAGACATTGGAGTCCAAGCCCTACTGTTTGCAAGAAAAAGAGAAACAGAAAAACCAAGAACTAGAGACAGGAGTGACTTGCTCAACCATTGTTGAGTGCCAAGTGACTCATCAGCTCTTTTGGCACAAAAGCATCAACCGTGAAGTTGTGGAATTAAGTTGCTGTTGCTATATGTGTGGAACTCTGGCTGCCAGCTGAAGATCTAATGTGAGCACTGTTTTGTGTGTCTAGATCAAATGATGCTGTTTGGAAAAGTTTCCCAGCAGTTGTGTGGCTTAAAGAAACTCCCATGGTCATGTGAATCCAGATACTTCTGGGGCTGGCTGAATACAGTGTTTAATAAGTAAGTTACTCAAACTAAAATAAAGAAATGTGGGGATGATTACGGCTAGATGAGCTCCCAAAAGCAAGTTTGGTTATTTCTTATATTTCAAAAAAAAATTTAACAATATATACAGAATGATCCTAACTTTGTTTACAGACAAAACATACAAACATGGAAAAAAGGATCAGAAGAATAGAATACAAAATATTAACTATGGTGTCTGGGTTGCAGTATCTTAGTGATTTTTCATATTAGTCATTCTGATGCCTTTTGGGTTTTTAAAAAATGATTACTTATTATTTTATGATCAGAAAAACTTAGTAATTTCAAACTATTTTATTCTACTGCTTCATTTTGTATTCTTTTTTAAAATTCTATTGCTTCTTAAGGAATGTTGTTAGGGTTTTGACTACTACCAAGAAAACTCAAGTTTTTAAAAGTGAGTGGGTGGCATGCCTAGAAATACCATTTTAAAACTGATGTAACTAACCTTCTCATTGCTTAATACAGCGTTATGTTTTCTAACCAGAGAAAAAGGCATGTGCAGAAATTAATAAATATCACTTAAGGAGATAAATTTGAAAATAAGTCCAAAATTGTTCCCTCTTTAACCTTTTATCATTAACAAAAAAGCTAGCTAAGTAGTCATTCATTCACTAAGTTATCAAGTATGTCTGGTATCTAGCAGTGTGCTACATATGAACCACTGAAGACCCTGTCTACCCGATAAACTCATACAAAAATAGTGTGCCTCAGAAACGGCATAATCCACACTCGGTGAGGCTGAGCCGGGAGGATCACAGGTCTGAGCTAGCCTGGTAACTTAATGACTCAGCAAGACCCTGTCTGAAAATGTTTTTTAAAAGGAGGGGGAGCATTGGGGACATAGCTGCGTGAAAAAGCCCTGGGTTCAATCCCCAGTACCATTTCGAATAATAATAAGCCTCGAGACTGGGGCTGTAGCTCAGTGGTAGAGCATTTGCCTAGCATGTGTGAGGCGCTGGGGTTGATGCCTAGCACTGCTAAATAAATAAATAAATGTGACTCGACAGAGATTACCTGGAGATAAAAACAAAAAGTTACCAGTAGAGCTATAGTTGTTTGCATTTTCATGGATCTCATTAATACACGTATCTCCCCCAGTCATTTGAAGTGAAAGATTGTTGCTGTTCTATATTTATGGTGGTGAGTACATTTTCCAAGCCAATGGCTGCAGTAAAAGGGAACTGCTGCTGTTCTCTTGCCAACAGAGTGGATTATGAACGCATCAAGGCTGTCGGCCCTGACAGGGCAGCTTCTGAGTGGCTGCTGCGCTGTGGGGCCACAGTCCGGTACTGTGGCCAGGAGAGGTGGCAGAAGGACTACAACCACCTCCCAACGGGCCCCCTGGACAAATACAAGATTCAAGCAATCGATGCGACGGACTCTTGTATCATGAACATTGGATTTGATCACATGGGTAACTACTCTATCATTTGCTTACAGCAAATGCAAGTGATTTGCAATGACCAGTGTCTTGTAGTTATCTCATGACTATAGTTGTAAGTAGGTTCTTTTCGCCTGTTGCAGCATAATCGATTTGCTTTTTTCTGGTTTGATATTTATTTTTAATGTAAATAGAGGGTACAAATACCTTTCTTCCCTTATCAAGCCTTGTTTCTACATTCCTTTATTGACTTAAAATTCAAAGCTTTGTCAAACTATCTTTTTTAAACTGCTGCCATTGAGAAGCCCTCAATTCTGTAAGGCTAAGTCTGCCCACATAGCTTCTACTCATGTGGGCATTTCTTTCCACCAGCGTGTGGCATCTGACTGTCCAGGGCCTCGTCCAGCCTCACCTATGCAGTGAATGCCTTAGATGGTTAGTAGGGTGAGCAGGAATTTCACTCCCAAAGCCAGGACAGTCCTGGGCAAACCAAGAGGTCATCTTAATGGCAAAGCAGATTCTTAAACTGTACTTTTTTTCCCCCCAGAGGGCCTAGAACATGTTGAAAAAATAAGATTATGCAAGTGTCATTATATTGAAGATACGTGTTTGCAGAGGCTTGGTCAACTTGAAAAATTACAGAAAAGCCTATTGGAAATGGAAATAATTTCCTGTGGGAACATCACAGACAGGGGCATCATTGCTTTGCGTCATTTAAGGTAGGTGGTCAAAGCCAAAATGGAAACTTGATAATGATAGGTGAATAATCAGTTTAAAACACATGAGGGGTGGTATTCTTTTTCAGTTTTGAAAAATACACTTCAAGAAAATGACCGTGCTCTCATTTATGATACTTCAAAATGATCAACCTTAATACATTCAGGTTTTATTGTATTTTTAAGGGACATCTTTAAAAAAATTAAACTTACATAAAGGAGATAGAATGCATGGTGCCTGCCACAATAAGCCCTCAATAAGCCTTAGCTATTATGCTTCCTCTCCATCTTGTAAAGCCATTTCCCCCATGTTTTGGTATCCTCATGACACCTGGTATGTACCAATTAGCACTGAACGTTATAAGTAAATTGCTTCAGTGGGGAAAGTCTTCAAAACAGTCACCTGCTTGTCTCTGTAGAAAGCTGTTTCACATCCCTTTCTGCCACCAACAGACTGTGCCATTCATTAACTTGCCCGGACCAAGTTACCCTGTCCCAAACGCTAAGAGGTAATACAGGCAAGGAATGCTTAATTCTAAAATTGCAGGAATGGGAGTCTTACCAGGACGATGAAGAAAGTGTGTTTAGTCAAATCCCTATTTTAGATATCCTGTCATTCAAATTCTAAACCTAGTTAATGTAGTTCTGCTTTACTGTGTAATGATCCACCAACAGCCTCAGTATCACAGGAAGTTTGAGAAGTTTTAAACATTAGGCCCCCAAAATACTAGATTGTTCATCTCTTACATACATTGAAGCTTCAAAGCTCCATCTTCTAATAGAAACTTGAGCATCTTTAAGAAGTTTCCCAATTTCTTCCCTTTTTTTGCACAAGATTCAAATTTCATATTTCACATGCAGAAGAGATCTGTGCTATTTTACATATATGTGTATTCACATATATACATATATATATAATTTAGAAACATTTAGCTAGAAATATTGATGTAATTAAGGGAAATGATAATTTTTAGCCTGGCTTAGTTCCTAGAATGAATTTCATTTAAAGTAGTACTCTAAGACTACCGCTGTAAAGTCCCCTTCTAAGGTGTAGGCTGATTATAAATGCATTCTGTATATAATTTTTCCTAAAAGTCAGTGAATAGATTTTTGGTTTTCTGTTTGTTTTTGTAACAGGATTAAACCCAGGCCCTTTGCACTAAGCTGAATCTCCAGCCCTTTTTTTAATTTTGAGACAAGGGCTCATACAGATGCCCAGGCTGGCTTTGACCTTGTAATCCTCCTGTCTCAGCCTTCCAAGTAGCTGTGATTACAGGCATGCACCACCTTGCCCAGATAAATTTTTAAATCTATGAAAGTAAAGGCCAAATTAAAGTGACTTTTTCTTTTTTTGTTTGCAGAAACCTCAAGTATTTGTTGTTAAGAGATCTTCCTGGAGTAAGAGAAAAAGAAAATCTTGTCCAAGTTTTTAAGACAACACTGCCTTCTCTTGAATTAAAATTACAATTAAAGTAAAATAATGAAGTTTTATTTCAGTATGAAGGATCATTTGAAATTTTTGGCCCTAGAAGGTAGCAAATATATTATATAATCATCAACAGAATTGTAACAGTGTGCTATCATGGCATTTTAGAAGTGGAGAAAATAATTTTCATATGTAGAAAATAAATGTTCAGACGTGACTCACTAAAGTTACTAAGTTGGAAGTGAGAAATTATGTAATTAAATCATTTTAAGAAAAATGCAAACTAGGTGGTATTGAAATTCTAATGTATTCCTTATTTAATATATATACCGTGTTATTTGATGTAGATATTGACTTAGAGTTCTCTAAAATGATTTCACTGTGCAACACAGATACTCTTTATTGTATTTTCAAAATTTCCATTGCACTTTATTGTAACTTTAGAGTTGCCGAAGCATTTATTACAAATGCACAACTATGAAACCATGGGCGGTAATCACAGATTCATTGATGGAGTTGATTATACAGAATGGTGAGTGTTGTCCAGGTGTGCACTTCACACTGCTCCCTAGGCTTGCACGCAGGTCTCAGGATGCTGCACTCCTGTGTTCTTGGTGGTGCATAAGCTTTCCCAGAATGAACAGTTGCTGATTAATTTGTCTGTTCGGTAAGTGTAGGCTAGTGTTTAATGAAAACAGGACATGCATACTTGGCTCAATTCAGACAGTCTGCTGATTGTAGTAGAACAAAGGTAGCAATCATAAAGACCACCATGCTTCACTTAGCTTTTTCTTCAATTAAAATTTTTTATTTAGGGCTGGGGATTTAGTTTAGCGGTACCACCGCCTGCCTCACAAGCACAAGGTGCTGAGTTCAATCTCCAGTACCAAAAAAAAAATTATTTAAACCTCAGTGTTACGGCACATGCCTATAATCCCAGCACTGGTGGGGGGGGGGCTGATGCAGGAGGATCTCCATAAGTTCAAGGCCAGCCTGGGCTACACAGTGAGTTCAAGACCAGCCTGAACTACATAGTGAGACCCTGACTCAAAATAACAACAACACCAATAAAAACAAACAAAAAAATTTGCTTTTAGTAAAATTTTAATGTATCAATAGGAACTAATTTTTCTTCCCTTAATATCTTGGGTGCTGCCTTCTATGAACTGAAGGGACATTAAATACAAGTATAAACACAAAACTCAATTTATGTCTAGAAAACAGTAATAAAGCATGATATAAATAAATAAAAACAAGTCTTTATTTTTATGTACTTGAAACAGTTCTGATTCTATTATTGTTGGCTATATGCTGATTTATTTGTGAATTTCTGCATATTTGGTTTTAACATTAAACTACTGAAAATAAACTTTACTGGAAATGGTTTAAAATAAACATTTTCTATGATATAGCTTTCAGGCAGAAAAATGAATTTTAGTGATGTTTAGAACTAAGCATACGGGGAAATATTCACCCATGTTTTATGAGGGAAATAAAATGAACCACCTTATGTAAATAGTACATCCCATAAATGGTATCCTATTTACTAATATAATTACCATTGTCATTTAAAAATCAGAAAATAGTATATAAAAAATAAAGACAAGGATATAGAACCAGTTTTGTGTGATACAATGGTGATTCTGTGCTGCAGGAAAAAGTGACATTGATAAATTGAGCACAAGCATAAATTTATTAGAATTAGAGAAAAATGAGCCTTTTTTCACATTGATATCATTACTGTGTGGTGAAACAACTGATTCTTTACAATTTAGTCCAGAGCTACTATTCTATTGTGGATGGTTTTCTATAAAACTGTTGGATGAATCAGGCAGTTACAGTCATCTTCCTCCGTCAAATACATTTTCATGGACTAAAGGAAACAAGAAAGACAACATTTTTAACTAGTCATGGAAGTTGGATACCCTTCCATGTCATTTGAATCAAGGCTATCTAACAGGAATTGAATGATACTGGGCTGATTATTTTACCCACTAATACAACCATTAGAAAGCCTCAGAATATAGCTGGTGAGCCCAGATTACTGAACAGATGACAGAATTTAGTAGATCAGTTAGCAGTAAATGAATGGGCTCAAGTGCGATCATGAAGGAAATTAGCACAGGAAGACAGTAAGAGTGCAGAAGAAGTGTTTTGAAGATACCATAAAACACAACTTTGAAAACCATGGCTAAGAACTGCTAGGAAGTAGGGCCAGCACGTCAACCAGAAGTGGTGCTGGGCTGCAAGGAAGAGATGGGGCTTCATATGGCCCTGTGTGCAAGGGCCAGTATAAAAAAGTTTTGTTTTTTTTTTAAAAAATGTTTTTGTTTAGGAGCAGTAGACCAAAGCAAAGCAAATTATTTCACATCTCACTGTACAACGCTAGAAACCCTCAACACTTATCATTTGTTCTTACTAGTTGTATTAGTTGTTAAGATAGCACATTATACACATGTATAACTACATATGTACATACATACACATACAGACACTGTAGTACAAAAAGACGTTTCAGGAAAAATCAGTTAACCTAACATCTTTCATGAGTCAAGTAACGTTTACAACCAGTTCCTCTAAAACCCAGATCACCATATGCAGTTCTACCTATAGCTCTGTCTGCGTGTCAGAGGCTGAGCTAGAGAGAATGAAGTCCTAATTACTTTCAAGCTGACAGACTCAGTTCGCATGAAGCCTGCACGTCTTGTTCTACCCTTTGACCACTTTGGTTGGGTGCCAACCTTCATGCCATCATTTGCAAGAGGAACTGGGTGAACAAGTATAGACAGATTACAGTAAATATGTCTGGCATGCAAAAATAAGATGCATGCTTTACTAAAGGTTAAAACAAAAATGTATATAAGACATGCATAAACATCAACTATTAAGCATATTACAAAGTCTTTCTATGATAATCAGTATGATTTTAGATATGGCCAACAATTCATATATCCCAAAAATGTTTTAAAATTTAAAAAATCAAGAGACAGAGCAAGCAGAAAATGGAATTTTAAACATTTTGATTTTAAGAACTAAAACTCTCCTTCAAGATAATGTTGAAACAAGCTGAAAGTCAGGAGACAGCCCTTAAGGCAACAGAGATCCAAGGAAACATCTGGGTATTGTGTGATCCATTTTTCACATGTGGCATAGAACACAAGTGCAGCATAAATCTTTTTAACATCATCTCATTTTGCAAGAGGAATGGGCAGTAGATGTAGTTTATATTCTACCCATAGCTCAGCTGCTTTGATAAAATTACTAGTGAAATTCCAAACAGGTCTTTCCTTTCTATTCTGTACCATGCATGGAAGACTGGATCTGGAATTTCCCTTCATATTTTGCCAAGTGGTCTCCCAGTTAGTTATGTTTTCAACACTGTAATTGTTTTCAATTAAATGGGTCAGTTTTATTTTCTTCAAGTTATTGATCAATTCTTCCTTCATCATCAATCTCCTAACTCCTTAAATGTTTGGGAAACGGTAGTTAAACTTCGTGGTATTATAGTAGTACTTCTTATTATCCAAAGCTGGAAGGATTCTGCTGCTAGTTAGCTGAGGCAGGTACTGCAACTGCAAATACAAAACACAGAATTAGGTTCATAACCCTGCCATGCACTTTTTTCACTATTCAGAATCCATTACAAAAGAAGCAATAGGGAAACTTTTTCAGCACAGAAATTTTCCAGACCCTGAAAGAGAACAATGTTTCATTTGGTCTCTGCTTTTCCTTTAAAAGGTTTATTTTACATTAAAAAGAAAAAATATACACATTAAAGAGAATTTAGAGAAAATGAAAAAGAGTGGAAAATCTGCCATGTTCATATCATTGGAAAAAGGCATAGATTTATAGGAGTTGGGAGCTTGCGGGGCCTTAGAGATTATGTAGGCCATTGCCCTGCCTTGTAGCAGAGAATACTGATGCCCACAGGATTTTGGTGATTTGCTCATTTATTTCTTTAGTTTAAAAGGCAAAGCTGTTCAGGCTGGGGATGTAGCTCAGTGGTAATGCACTTGCCTTATAGGCACAAAACCCTGGGTTCAATTCCCAGTACTGGGGCAGAGGCCAAACCTGTTTCATTTGAGCATACAGAAAACACTTGAATTTATTGTCGTCAAATGGTAGGAGAATACAACTTTATTTTTTGTATTATACTACATGGTATTAGGTATCTGAAAAGAGGATAATTTTTAGTACTTTTAAATCACACAATTGAATTTTTCATGATTAAAAAGCGATTCCTGGAGAGTGATGTTCCCCTAGTATTTCAAGTAAGGCTTTTTCCATCATCTCTTTGCTCTTGGACACAAAGTAGCAGTGAGATAGGGATAACTGGGCTTGGGAGGGGAGTCTATTTCTGGCCTGTTGTGCTATCTAGGTTATATATAATAGAGGATAAAATAAAAACATTTCTAATTTTGTAACTGGTCTACTTCAGGGCTCTGGAGTTCATGCAGCACCTATTTCTAATGAACTCTCCCTCTCTTCCTTCTCCAAATCTCACACACACCACCCAATACCTTCAGTGTTCCAGGCTGCAGAGGCTGCAAATACAGAGACTGAGGAGAGATAATTCAGTACTAAGAAATACTAAATTCAGGCAGATTCAGAAGTGACCAGGAGTGGCCTGCCCATCTTCACTGTGGTTCCTATGGTGCTGTTGTCCATTCTATATCATTACAGCTTTTCCCTCTGAAAAGACAGTGTCAGTAGGCCAGGCTCTCTAAATCTTGTTTCTTGTCTTTATTCTTATCAGCTTGTGTTGTAGTGCCTCAAAGGAGACTGCAGACCTACTGCAGGGGTCCATGGTAACGTCCCCATTCCCGTTCCCTATAAGGCTCCCTATAAGGGTGCATTATGGATGCTATTCTCTGGCTTGCTGTGCATCCTGCTGAGACTGCTGCACACCCTGTGGCTGATTTGCCATCCTAACCCTGACAAAGGGTCAGGAAGGAAAAGCATTCCTGTTTGGATAAACCTAGAATATTAATACTGAAGGTAAACATGATGACAAACTACTGCCCGGTACAGATCTGGCTTCATTTTCCTAAGTGCAAGAAGCACATTCAGCTGGACTCACTTCTGTACCTGGCTGAGACCCAAGCTCATGCACATCAGAAACCCTGGGCCCTGTGGGGCAGCAGGAAACAGTAGGGATTCTAGAGGATTATGATTCAGGAGGAAGGGGCCTCTGATGTCTCTGGGGCTCTAGATGGAGGTCATGGGACCTGACCCCAAGTGCTAGAATGAGTGTGCTGGAACTGCAGGCCACAATTGCCACCCTCCAGGCTAGATTCCAACTCTGTACTAGGCGGCAGGCATGCAATCATTTGAAACTGAAACCTTAGATGTTTCTGTCAAACAGTGCACCATCTTTACCCCAGGCAGGTGCTTTTGGCTCTGTCTTAGGGTCTTCCTTGTTGGTTTGTCATGTTCTTTTGTCACCCCCCTTACTTCTCTGATGCTGTCAAAATATGGGTGCTGCAACAGCTGTTCGCATGTCAGTCTCTCGCCAGGGTCCATGTGCAGGCAGCCCTGAAAGACAGAAAGTTCCTTTTTACTTCTTCACAGCTACATTCGCTTACGAATCTTCTTTTTTTCTTTGAAAGACTAAACTCCAAAATTTTTTTCTTTATATTTTTATTTTGGCAGTGCTGAAGATGGAACCTAGGACCCCATGTATGCTAGACAAGCACTCTACCTCCAAGCTCACCCCTAGGTCTTTTAATTATTTTCAAATCATTTCAGCCAGGCATAGTGGTGCACGCCTATAATCCCAGTACTCCGGAGGCAGAGACAGGAGGATCACAGTAAATCTGAGGCCAGCCTGGACAAATAGTGAGCTTAAGGCCAGCCTGAACTACACAGTGAGACCTTGTCTTAAAAAGAATCATTTCAATAGTACATAATAATATATAAATATGGAGTATGAGGGGATAATTCAATACATGTATACAGTGTATAATGACCATATTAGGATCATGGCATTTCCATCTCCGTAAACATTTACTATTTCTTTCTTTAAGGAACCTTCTAACTCTTCTGGTTCTTTTTTTGTTCCCAGTACCGGGGATCGAACCCAGCACTTTGGGCTTGCAAGGCAGGCAGGGTGCCACTGAGCTAAATCCCCAGCCCTTCTTCTGGTTCCTTATAAAATATGTAATAAATTGTTGTCAACTATATTCACCCTGTTGTGCTATAGAACACTGGAACTTACTCCTCAAATCTAACTGTATTTCCTTTTTCTTTTTTTTCTTGTACTGAGAGATTGAACCCAGGGATTCTCTACCACTGAACTACATTCCCCTTCCATTTCTCTTTAGTTCTTATTTTGAGAAAAGCACTTGCTAAGATGCTCAAAAAAGACTTGAATTTGAGATCCTTCCTTCTGCTTCAGCCTCCATAAGTGCTGAGATTACATCTAACTGTATTTTGGTATCCTTTATCCCCCTCCTCCTGCCTCTCCTGACCACTGTCTATTTGGCTACTTCTGTGAAATCAACTTTTTTACTTTCCACATGTATATGGTACTTGTGAAAAACTAAACTTTTCAGTTGATAATACGAAGGAAAAAGTAGTAAAAGCACACAGTCACACATTCAGTTCCTCCTGTAGTCTTCCTAACAGGAGCCACATGATAAACAAACCAATACTTTTCAGCAGTAACAAAAAATAGGTTTCTCCACCCTGTTCTGGTCTTGAGGCAGCTGGTGCTCTGCTATGGGGGAGGAGGATATGATTTTGGAGTTTCCCTTAGTGGCCAACTGGGATAATCCATTTAGCCATCTTGGTCACTTTCTAGTATTTGGGAAAAACTAGTGTTTTTATTTAAAAATAATATTCACATGTGGTGCAAATAAAGTTCACATAGTATACATCAGAGTCTCTGCCACTCTAGGTCTTCCATTTCCCTTCTAGAATCAGTTACTTTGGTGGGGAGGGGTGTCTTTCTATAAATATCCTGTGCATTACATGCATATATGAGTGCATATGTAAAGGAAGACATAATACATGTGCCTTGTATAACATCATTCATGACTATTTTCTTTGCATTAACTAGGCCATGAGGTTCATAGCTAGAAAGATAAATCTCACAACTACCTACTCAAAAGAACTGCCTCAATTTTTTTGTAACAGTATAAACACATCATTAAATGTATTAAATAATTTTTGAAATGTGTGGGACATGAAGTACAACTTGCAAGTATTTTAACTGGCGCTGTACTGATTTTATGTAACAGCTACATTTCTAACATGTATATATAAATCAACTTTTAAAAGCAAAATGTGCTAGGAACCTGGCCATTTAAAGGATCCTACAGCTACACAGTTTTTGAAGCTAAGGATCCCTTTAAAACAAACACTGCCCCTTTGAAATTTCTATTTTGTATAAATTTAGGTTTCAAATACAACGTTAGGTTTATCTAATGTACTACTTGCAAATATTTTCACTATAATAGAATGTGGCCCATTTTAAAAATTGAAAATATTTATGCTTTTCAAAGGAGAAAAATTCTAAAAGGAAGATTTCATTTTATGGACTGACACAGTGATTTAATTTCTTCAATGCTGTACTTCCTGGTCTTTGGGAAGCCAGGATTTTACCTTTAAGAGTCCCAGGGCAGGATAGGAGATGTTTGGAAATTTTAACTCAAGTGGTTCCTGTTGAAAGGAAAAGGGGTTTTTAATTTACATCATGTACTCAAATGAAGGTTACCTGAAATTACGTTTCTCTTGGGTAAAACATCTTTCTGGCCTCCTCCACCCCTTCCCACTCTGCCTTGCACTGAAAACGACCTCCTTAGGCCTGTCACAAGCTTCTGCTCTCCCCACCTCCAGATGGCTTTTCCAAATTTTCTTCCTAACCACTCCCTTCAATTCCTGAAGAAGGCAGCAAATTGTAATTACTAATGAAAGAAGAAAAGCAAATTAAAAACACTTGCTTTGTGCATTACTATTTTGTTTCTGCCTCAGTTTACATAACTTGCCTATCCTGAGAATAATGAAAAGGGTTTTTGAGTTTTGCATTTATTGACATTTATATAAAAAGAGTTTCAAATTGGATTTTTTTTACCACACCAGGTAAACAGATGCTTCTTGAATTTCTGCAATAAACAGTTGTCTCCTCCCACAAGTGCCCACTGTTTCCCGAAACAGCCAGTGTAGATGGAGTCTCTGGAGCAGCATTTGCCAACCTGCCCTTGGCCATTTAAGGCTATTTTGCTCCAGGCACATGCTGGAGGCCACCAGGAGTAGCAGCAGAAATGGGGGAACACTGCCCAATGTCAAGCAGACAAACAGGCCAGTTGGAGAGAGAGCACTCACAAGCGGGGACTGAGAACTAAGAGCAGCCAGCCACACTAAGCAGAATAAAGGACCCTGGTGTGCTGTGTGATCAAGATGCCAGTGTGAGCCTCGGGCTGCAGCGATCACCTAGGCTTGGCTAATGACACAGTCCGGTGCTGTGGACAGCTGCAGGGCACAGTGTAACTTGGACTGGGAACCAGACCCCGACCATTCTTGATTGTGCACTGACTGACCACTGATAAGAGAAAAGACTCTCAGGTGTGCAGTTCCCCACATTCAACAGCAGAAAAAAAAATCAAATCCTAAAGCAAATTTCTCTTTGGCCTTGAGAGTGTCATCTCTCTCACCCCGACAGGTGAAGTAGTTCTCCTGCCTTCGCTGTGTGTTGAATGTGACACTGCTGGGGACTGACGTGACAAGGCTGGCGGGCTCTGCTGTCTCAGCAACAATGCTTGGGATGAGGCAGCCTTGCAGGGCCCATCCCACCTGCTGAGCTGGTTTCCCAGCCCCAGGAGCTGGCAGACCTCCCCGGGAGGGTTATGACCGGCACAGGGACAGCGGCACAGATGTTCAGCCACAGCAGCCCCCCACGCTGTGTCTTCCTGTGTTTCTGTCAACAGGAAATCTCCTGCAGGACAATCTCGGGGATCTATGGGAAGCTGTCTGCATTTATGAAACCAGGGCTGTTTCTGAAGCTTCCCTAGTAGACAATTGAACAGGAAATTGCTAAGGGACATTTGGAGCAGAACTGGGAATGTCCAGGACACAAGGGAGCCAGCTGGGTCACCTCCCACATACCAGGTGTCATTCCTGCCTTTCAGTCCCAGCATGACCCACTTTTCCTAATGCTACCGCTGCGGGATGGGGAGGTGGTGAGGAAGTGGAAGTCTTTGTTATGGGACAAGCCAAGAGACAGAGCGCAAGAGCAAGGGACAGGCAGAACTTCCACCCAAGACTGAGCAAACCGAGGGTTAGTTTCAATTTGAGAGGACCATCCTCAGCCACTAGGAATCCTGGATCTCACAACCCTTAAATATGCTCTGAAATGTTTTTTGTGTGCTTGGGATCGAACCTGAGACCTCATGCATTCCAGGCATGAGCTCTACCACTGAGCGACATCCCCGGCTCATTAGAAGTCATTAAAAAATACATATATATGTATATATAAAACCACAAGGAATGAAACCAACACCCCAAAATCTCACTACAAAGGGATACCCACTCTTCATATTTTGTATATATCCTTGCCGTCATTTATTTAATAAATGTAAAAAGTTTTGCATGACTTCCCAGAAGTTGCCACATTAGTTTATGTTTATATATGTAAATATTTGTAATGTTATTAAATATCTATTCCAATTATGTCAAATTCTACATACTGTTTTATAACTTTTTAATTTGACAATATGTTGTGGATTTTTTTAGATGAATACATATAGATCTAACTATTTCTACTGGCTATGTAATTTTTTTTTTTTTGCTATGTAATATTTTTAATTACAGATGTACCATAAGTTAATCCCCTACTGCTATAACACAAAAGGAAAGATCTGTTAAATGCTACATCTTTGTGTTCTTTTTTTTGGTACCAGGGATCGAACTCAGGACCTTGCACTTGCGAGGCAGGTGTGGCACCACTGAGCTAAATCCCCGGCCCTTTTGTGTTCTTGTGTAATGGTTGTATTGGGATAAACTCCTAGGAGTGGGTTAAGGGTATGAACATGTTAAATTTTTCAGTCCTTTTAAAATGAATTTTACCCCCAGATTGGCCACAAAACTCGTCAGAGTGAGGCTGGCCAAGTAAGTCCACTATGGTTTCCTCATGGTCTGGGGAGTGAATTCGAAGAGGATTAGAGAATTTGGACAACACCAGGGAAAAGTTTCCTGGGTGGGTCAGGATCTGGATTTGTGTAAACGTTGACTGGTTCTGAGTTCCCAGGCTCAGCTGATGAGAACGATAAGGACAGGAGCAGCTAGGGCGGGCAGCTATACATTCCTGTCTGTCAGGCTGGCCACATTCTTTATCAGCAGCCTTGAAATTAGCACTGAAGGCCACAGTCTTGCTGCCAATTTGCTCCAATCTTCTTTTTCACTCTTCAATGAAACTTCCAGTACAGATTAAACCATGGGGCCCAGAGCAAATATCTTCCACAACCCAGCTAGCTTGCTCCAGGAGCCCTCTCCAAAAAGGTTCGCTTACTCACCATATCTTCAGGGTCTGGGATTTTCACCCCACTGAAGTACTGATTCGTGCTAAATACTTGCTGGTGTCTAGTAATGAGGTCCCCTTTGAACAAAAAGAAAGAGGGGTGTAAGTGAGATTGGTCAGCAAACACTGACCTGTGGCTTCCTTCTGCAGAAGCGGTGTCTGGCTGTCCCGAGACCTACCAAGGCGCAGTTTTCTCTAGCAACCAGAAGTGCTCAAGCAACATGGCCCAGACCGAGCTCTACCATGGACAACACATCCCTAGGAGCAGAGGTCATAAGCTCCAGAAATGGAAGCCTGCAAGTTTCTTGCCCTCCAGGGCTTACAGTGTATTCAAGGAATCCAAATCAAATAACTCACACACAAATAAAATAATTCCTAAAAAAATATATAAAAAGTGCAACAGTGCGACCACTGCAAATCCAAACTGTATTAACCAAATCCTGATGAGTGGAGATAAAAATGTGTTGGCCTCATACTGAAAGAGGGCCTGACACAGAGCAAACAATAAATATTTAAAAGGAGGGAGGGAAGAGAAGGAGGGAGTTGAGAAAGGAACCAGTTATGGATGGTTTTCTAGCTAGAAGAAATACATTCCCATACTGGAAGCACCTTTTCTGGTTTCACCAATTAGCCATCAGTTGGAAATACCATTTTATCTGTTCTAAGGCACTTAACAATGCGGAGCACAGAAACAAAAGCAGCACTTCTATATTCCAGGAGATCGTGGGATGCTCACCCTGCACACGTTGCAGCCAAATGAGCTAAAATCGCCCTCATGTACAATTCTACACTTGAAGAGGCACTTCGTTCAGAGCATATAAAGAGATGCTCAGGCCCTCCATCCAGAGTAGTGGAAAGCAAAAGTCCCCTGACTGGGGGTCTGTACACTCTGCCAAGGACTGAGCTGGGGTTCCCAATACGAGGCCATCGAAGTCTAATTCTACTGATTTTAGAACTTTACCTCTCACTTTAAAAAAAACAAGCTTATTCTATTTTGGGTAAGCAGTCAAGCTATAGCCTCTAACGCCTTGCCCAAGACTTCAGTGAACTGAGTTGGATCAAGAACACAATTCCCTGTGCCCTAACAACCTTCTTCATGGTGCCGTGGGTGCTACAAGAGATTATGGGGGAGGGAAAATCTGCTTTGAATTGGGATATTTAGGGTGCAGTATCTAAACTCCCTGGCTTTTGGAGGGGGCAGTCTCTGCTTGTGCATCTTTTCATCTGTCCCTTACCCTCTATCCCTTCTCCTCCTCTGCCCTTACCATTCCCCTGCAGGGTAGGAGAAAGGACAGGGTATGGGAGAAGCAGGAGAAGGAGGGACATCAGAAGAACCAGTCTCTCTTCCTGACACTTAGAAGGCTGAGAGTCTGGAGAATCCAAACTAGTCAGGCAGGCTGGAGGCAAGGACTTCCAGATGAATTATCACATCATAGTACAGGTAGAGAATTCCCAATCTGCACATCTGAAATCCAAAATGTTCCAAATCTGAAACTTTGACTACCAGTAGGAAACCACAAGTAAAAAGTTCCACACCTGACCTCATATGGCAGGTTGCAGTCAAAATGCAGGAATATTACAAATACTGTATAAATTTACCTTCAAGATATGTGTATAAAGTGTATATGAAACATAAATGAATTTGATGTCTACACTTGGGTCCCTTCTCTAAGGAATCTCATTATGAAATATTCCAAAATTCATAAATTCTAAACTGCAGAAACACTTTCAGTTGCAAGCATTTTGGGTAAGAGATGCTCAACCTGTAAATGAAATAAACCATGATAGTATTCTGACAACTGCTAAGCCCTTGCAGAAGTTTAAGTTTCTGTGGTTCCCATGACTATTTTTCAGAGGTCAACTTGATCCACACTATGCTCAAGTGAAAATCTCATGTCCTTTGGACAATTAGTAAATACTAGTAATTGTTAATTATTTTTATTAAAACACAAGTGGACACTGTTAATCCAGCCATTTCTATGAGGCTTTCAAGTTGCCCCTTCCTAGCTGTGAAAGGCCTCAGATGAGCTAGAGACTTGGCTCTGGCCTGTACCAACATGGGTAAAACCGGCAAACTTCCCAGAAGGTGGGCTGAAAACATTACTTACCCAAGGTTTTCCTAATCAGATAAAGCTGGTCCACATCTGATTTTCCTGGCCACAGAGGCACTCCTGACAGCAGCTCGGCAAAGACACAGCCAACTGCCCAGACATCTACTGGGGAGCCATATTGTGTGTCCCCCACCAGCAGTTCCGGGGAGCGGTACCACCTGGTAGCCACATAGTCTGTGTAGTAGTCGCTCGGTCCAGCTGGCCGGTGATGCAACATGGAAAACAGAAAGAGCAGTGAAAGCCTGGGATCCAAACTGGAAATGAAAGGCCTAAGAAGACAAGCTCTGTCCAAACTTGCGGCTTCTCAAAATAACTATGCTCTATCCTGGCTGCATGTCAGAATCACTTGGAATTTAGCATTTTTTAAATTGCTGCTGCTTGGACCACACCCCAGTCCAATTAAACCAGAATCTTTGGAAGGGCTTAGGGGTATCCCTAGAGTTTTTGAAAGTTCCCCAGATAATTCTAATTTGCAGCCAAGATTGAAAACTACTTTCTAAAGTAGCACTTCTGAAAAGTATAATTTTAGCAGAAATTGGAAGAAACCAGGAGAGTAACATACTTTTTAATAATCACTTTACTGTGGTATAATTTACATACAGCATTAATTTCTAAACCACTGTATATGTCTACACTTTTAAAAATTATAATTATATTACAAAATTCTGTAATTATAGAATTATAATGTATAGCACGATTATACCCTAAATTACAAGAACCAATTTTCTATAGCATCTAGAACCTTTATTAGATCAAGAACATTTCCATCTTCTACACTTAACTAAAGAAAATTTCAATACTCACTCAAAAGCCGAGCAAATCCAAAGTCACAAAGTTTAATCACTGACTGTTTTGTGATCAGGATATTTTCTGGCTTCACATCTCTATGTATGCACTAGTTGCAAAATTCAAAACAAAAACAGGTTACAAAGGAGCAACTATGATATAAGGCATAAATAAAACACATAAATATTTAGCAAATATTGGATAAATCATTTGAATCTCTGATTGGCTAGTTGGGTAAGAGCAAAACAGCAGCCTAAAATAAATCTAGTACGATACCTATAGCCAGAATCATCCCAAGTCCCAAAGGGACCAAAAGGATCAAGAAGGGTGAAAGTAAAACTGAAACTAGGATAGCTAGACTTGGCAAATATAAATATAGGACACTCAATTACATTTGAATTTTAGGTAAACAATTTTTTTTCAGTGCTGAGAATTGAACCCAGGGCCTTGTGCATGCTAGGCAAGTGGTCTGCCACTGAGCTGTATCTCTATGCCCAAGTAATGCTGAAAGTATAGTAAGTATGTCCCATGCAGTATTAGGAACATATCTACCTTTACAAAGTTTTCCTTGTTTATCTGAACTTTGAATTTAACTGGCAGTCCTGTATTATCGTGACAACTCTAGGTGAAAGGGAAAGAGTTAAAAGACTTTGAGCCAGGCCTGCATTGTGGCTGCAGGAGCTGCTGGTTGGTGCATAAGCAGAATTCACAACTGCACTGCTGAACTGAGAAGAGATCAGAGCTGGCCTGGTAAACAGGACAAGCCCTGGGCCTGCTGAGATAAGCTGGGGACAAGAAGGGCGGGAACTAGGAGCTTGCCAAGCCATCTCCCTTCCAGCTCTGACATCTGTCCTGACAAGATAAACAAGAGCAGGCGGCAGCCCTGTCCTCCTCCGGGGAGAGTCGCTAGATGTCAGCTCTGTCCCACAACACATCCAGCGGGGTTTCTCAGAGCCACATCCATCCCTCAGCTCTGGCTCCTACTCCATAATTTAGACTCAAATCACCTAGCTTCCAGGCTGCAGCCTACATTCCTCAGCCGGGTGATGTTAGCAGAATGCTTGAGGATTTTCACATGACTTTCTTATTAAAGGACAATTTCCTTTGCAAAAAAACCCCCAAATCAACAGCCTAGGAATAATTACACTTTAAACCCCAGTTGGGTCACAGCATTGCTCAGGGTTGCTAATATTTTCCCTTCTCCCAAGCGGTTTCCTCTCCCAAGGGGAAGCTTTCTAGGACCAGAGACTTGCTTGGCCTGCACCCAGGAACCCTAGCATTATTCCTGGTTTTCTAGAAATGAGAGAGAGGACGAAGGTTCTTCTTGGGCCTGGCCAGTTCTCATTCCAAAGGACCTTCAGGGTGAGACATCAGCATCAGGCTTTCCCACAGCGTTTTATGATTTTGGAAAATGAGGGGGGGGGTGTAAATTGTTTCATTACAATCTATCTGGTTCTCAGCAATTACTGGCTCTTAAGACCTCTACTCTTTCACCACTGGCTTCAAAAATTGTTCTAAATGGGCACATCCACGAATATCCTGATGACACATGGTCAGAAGTGCTGGTAAGCAAGAATGTGCTCCCACTCTCCTCTGGGAATTCCTCGCAAGTTTCCGCACCCTCCCCAACCCGCACTTGGAGCCAAGAGAGCATCTGGCGCTCTCCCAGGAACCGCCATGTCTCACATTTGTCTTCAGTGCTCAGATCTTCCCCACCAGGGCCTTCATGTGTCTCTCGCTCCCGTACTAAACTCGCTCTCAGGACAGTGCCGACCATCACTGTCAGGGACTGGAGATACAAAGTGGCCACTCTGTAAGGCTGTATGATGGTGCACTCTTGGGTGGGGGGAATTGAACCCAGGGCCTCATACATGTAAGGCAAGGGCTCTACAATGAGCTACACCCCCAGCCCTGTCAAAGATTATAGCGTTTAGCTAACAGAGGGTCAGTAAGAAGAGGTTCTGGCTACTTCCATATTTTCTCCTTCTGGGAACACAGCTTCAGAAAAAAATCATTTGAAGTAGAGTACAAGGCAGGGGATTCATTCAGCCCCATCAGCTCACCTGAGGCTGCCAGTTGGTGGAGTGACAGATCAGACAGCAATCATGGCCAAATGAAGCTCCAACATTGGAATCTGGGTCTGTTTGGTTTGGTTTTGGTGCTGGGGACTTAGAAACTGTTTTGTTTTGTTTTCTGCAGTGCTGGGGCTCAAACCTGGGACCTTATACGTGGCTCTGCTACTGACCTTTGCCACAGTTTTTGAATCTGCTATCCATGAGGAAGGAGTAGGTTGCCCAGCATGTGTGAAGCCCAGCACCTGGTCAAGGGTCCCCTGTACCTCCCACCTGCCCACCCTTGGCCAGGAACCCCAGAGGCATCCACTGGGTGGCTTCTGGCAGGCTCCGAACTCCTATCTCACCAGAGCACCATTCTTGCTTTGGGCTTGGGACTCCACCCACTGCAGCTGGCACACTGTAACGAGACAGGTGCGACGCATCTGGGGCTCCCCTCCCAACTTCAGGGACTGTGGGAAGTTCCAGTCTGATACAGACTCCAAATGAATGGGATTCTTCTTACTTTACACTTAAGAAGTTTCAAAATACATGACAACTTTCTTAAAATGTTTTTTTCAATGCATGCTTTATAAAATTTCACTAGGTTGGCATTTTGAGCCTCTTATCCCAGCAAGGTTTATTGAGAGTTCCAGTGGAAGGTGATACCTGCAGAAGCCTGGTATAAACGTTATACAAGGCTCCACCTGAGCTCAAGGGTAGCCTCCTGATTTTTCAGGGGAAATCATGAGACTTACACTGTGTTTATGGCAAAAATTTACAGCTTGCAGCGTCTGCCAAGTTATACTCTTCACGAGATGTTCTGGTGCCCTAATAAAAATGAAAAGCACAAACACATTCTTTATTGTAGCCATGGAATTCAGCTCAAGAAAAGTAAACCAAAGTAGGGCATGAAAAGTCCTAAGTGACACAGAGTCATCTCACTTGTCCAGCAGTCATTCCTGGAGTCCTGGTGTAAGGAACAAGTGACCAGCACACCGCTGAATTTTAAGGGCAGCAGCTTTGCAAAAATGCAAACATCTATTTCTACAGGAGGGGACCATGAAAACCTACAGGGATTTCAACAGAGATCTGTGACCATCTATCCCAGACATCTGACCCCACTGGCAATCTGCCTGGAAACTTCAGCTCTGTTTCTATGAGGAACTTTTTGTTGGTGTCAACTCAGTTAATATACAGCACAAAAATACGGTTTCACATCATGTACTGCAAATATGTACAAAGGAAAAAAAGGAAGAGGATCAAGAGATGGGTGGAAGGGGGAGGCAGGGAGAGAAAGGGGATGAAGATGTGTTAAGTACGTGTGTCAGCTTCCCACAAGGAATGTAAACATTATGTACATTCATGTAAACATTAGTGTATCATTACAAACATGTACTAATAAAAAATATTGCATGGCTTCTCTTATATGAGAAACCTAAAGTACAAAGAATTTAAAGAGCAGAATAAAAGAGACAATGGGAAAGAAGGAGATAGATAGATCTTTGGCAAATGGGAAGGGGACCTAGCGATGGAAGGGGAGAAGGGAAGGGGAAATAAAAAGAATGAAGAGGTATGATGTACGTGTACCAGCTTCCCACAGTGAATGAGATTATTATGTATTGCAAACATGCACTGAAACAAAAGATGCTATTTAGTTTTCAAGTTGCTTCAAACTCATGGCTTTGAAGCAAGACTCACCTTCCACGGTGGGCACATGGTCTCCCCAGATTCCTGGGTCATTTTTTGTTTTGTTTTGTTCTGCGTTTTTGGAAAATGAAGATTTTACTGATAATAAAGATCACACACAGTGTAACAAAAGGGTGGCCAGCTGCACTCTGCTCACAGCTTTCTGCCCTTCCCTCTGTCACAGCATCTGCCCCAGCCCTTCTTCCCTGACCAAGCTGACTGAACCGGGGCAAAGAGAAACCCCAGCAGGTGCTTTGGGTGAGTTTGAAAAAGACTCAGAGCGTTTTTGACAACAGAAGGGAAATAGCCAACAAAGATGCACTGATTTTCACAGACCCCACCCACCAGCTGGATTTATTATTTTAATGAATCAAATGCTAAGCGATGTATTGTGGTCCTCAGCCAAAACTAACAAGCAAGAGGAAGAGGAGACTGGAATTGTTGTATTAAAGATGACCACAAAAAGTCACTTCTGTGCCCCCCAGGAGAGGCCACAAGGCCACTGTTGACACAGACCAGACGTTCAGGAAATCCTTTTGAGAAGATCAGAGAACGTGTGAACAGAGTGGGCAGCAGGCAGGAAATGGAGAGGCCACTTCCTGGAAGAACAGCAGGGTCAGGACTATGTCCTCCCTTGAATTTGGAATCTCCAGATTCTCTTGTTCTAGTGACACAGGCACACATGCTAGAAAAACTCATTCGTCAAGACTGAAGGCCTAAGAAATTACAACAACGAAAGGTATATCTTGGGTTCCCTCAACTCCACATTTTGTCCAGAAGAAATAGAATATACCTTGATTATTCAATGAATTAAGTATTTAACATAGTGTTATCAGTGCTGGACAACTTTGATCTCTAAAAATATTTCTCAAAATAAATATTTAAAAGTCAATTATAACGGCATATGATCAATGCTTTGATAAAGCTGAGCACATTATTACATGATGCTCAAATGTAGAAACTCCACACAGCCCACACAGGGCTCCCTTGGGCTGGCCACTCGCTTGACTCCTTTATTACCCAGTTTCTTCTCTAGAATGCCAGAGCCTCACAGCCTTTTAACTCCCACACTCCAAGATGATAATAAGAGTCTGGCTTTCACCATGGGAGAAGAGATTTATGCATACAGAAAGGAAGAGAGATAGAATATGTTCTGTGGTGTTGGGGTGGAATTGGTGGTGGTGAGGAGACAGGAGAGAGGAGAGGAAAGGAGAGAGACAGAGACAGAGACAGAGAGAGACAGACAACAGACAAGTGCTGTGCCAGGAGGGTGCTGTCTTATATAGCTTGATGCAGAAAGCTTTTCTGGTTAACCAGACTTCTAAAGTAGTAGCTAAGGTAGTAAGTAGTGGCCAGATTTGGGTCATATTTTAAAACTAGAGCCTTCCTGGTTTTCTGAGGGATTGGATGTGAGAAAGAGGGGAATCAGAGCTTATTGAACATCCAAAGGAAGCAGGGAGTTCTGAATTCAGAAGGAAAGCCAGGCTGGGAATATAAACCTGAGCAGCACAAGCATATTGATGGCACTGAGGGCCTAGGACTTAATGAAGCTGTGTGTGTGGTGAACACAGATAACGAGGAGCAGCTCAGAGCTAAGCTCTGAGGCTCCTTGACACTCAAAGGTCAGAATCAGGAGCTGGGATCCAGCAGGGAGATGACACTCAAGGGAGTACAGGGATGACTGAAAAATACGGTGAAAGTTTGAGTTTAAAAACTTATTACAGTAAGACACACTGTCAAGAAGGATGGGATAAGTGTGTTCAAAACCAATGGGAGTATTTTGAGTATTCTGAGGGAGATTAAAGGCAATGTGTCTTTTTTTTTCTTTTTTTTGGTACCGGGGATTGAACTCTGTTCTTTGCGCTTGCACAGCAGGAGGCAAAACCACTGAGCTAAACCCCTGGCCCAGCAATGTGTCTTTTACTGTAATACATGTTAGAAATGTAAACATTGAAGTAGGAAGATAGATTTTTGTTAAATGGGGAGGGGATCCAGAGATGGAAGGAGATAAAAAAGGAACTAAGATGTGTTACGCACATGTGCCAACTCTACTCAAGGAATGTAAACGTTATTGCCTGCAAACATGGCTAATAAAAAAGAATAAACCTTTGCGGTATCATCTGATTACACCAAGTTGATCAACTGTTTATGGTAACGTCTGCCAGTGCAAACGTCATGGTGTGTCCTCATCCACTGTATTCACTGGATCTGGCACTGTGCAACTTCTGGCTCTGCCCCAAAGCCAAAATGACCATGAAAGGCAAACATTTTGATTTAGTTCAAGTCACCAAGGCAGCTACAACCAGCACAACGAAAGACATGCATGAAAGAGGACTTGAAGAACTGCTCCAGAAAGTGACAAGAACAATGGCATAAGTGTGTTCGAAGCAAGGGAGAGTATTATAGAGGTTAATGACAGTGTATCTTTTACTATAATGAATTTTAAGTTGTAAACATTCACTGTGTTTTCTAATCACACTTCATACACTCACAGAAACCAACTGAAGAAAGTGCTTCAAGGGGCTTTTGAATTAAGGTGATGGATGAACAGCCCATTTTACTGTATTCTGTCCCTCAAACCTAAGTAGAATACATTGAAAAGAGTTTTCTAAAGCCAGAAGCCCAAAAGTCGTAGAGAACAGCAACACATTTTACCATCTAGAAAGCAGCTGAATGACGAGAAAGTTAGAGACCAAAGCAACAGAAAAGAGCAAATTACAGAAATTATGGAAAATGAAGACAACATTTTAAAAAATCACTAATATCTTCAGAGAGAGAAAGAAAGCCATTGCATCCATAAAGTAATAATAGGACACTATAAGTCAAAGAGTACAATAGCCATGGGGCTGGGGATTTTAGCTCAGTGGTTTTGTCACCTGCTGCACAAGCAAAAGGACCTGAGTTCGATCCCAGATACCAAAAAAAAAAAAAAAAAGAGTGTAATAGCCAAATAATATGTAGAAGGGCTAGAAAAAGAAAAGAAGGATGGGAAATTAATAACAAAACAATTAAAATTTTTTCGCAGACAGAAACAGCCCCACCCAGTACCAGAAGAATGGATGAAAATCAAAGCTCATGATTTTCATAATCGAAAAGAGTGACAACAAAGAGATTCTCAAAGCTTTTGTAAATAAAAAAAGAAATAGGACTCTACAAAGCAGAAAATAGAATGGCATCAGAAGACAGCAGGCATTAAAACTATGCCTTCAAAATTTTGAAAGAATCTTGTCAACCAAAACCAAATTAACCCATACTCAAACATTCTTTCTCAGGAAGATCCTGGAGAATGCACTCCACCAGAAAGGAGCAGCAACCTATCAAAAAAGATAACAGATGAAGAAACAGGAAAGCCAATAGGAGAGGGAAACAATGGGATCTCTAGGAAGATGGTTGCATTAGTTAGTTTTGTTGTCACTGAGACAAAATTGCTGACACCCACAATTTAAAGAAAGAGAGCATTATATTGGTTCACAGTTTCAATGTGTTCAGTACATGGTCAGCTGGCTCTAAGGCAGAAATAGCATGGTGGAAGGACACAGCGGAGGAAAGCTGCTCGTCTCTTGGTCACCAAGAAGCAGAGAGAGAGAGAGAGGAGAAGGAGGCACAAGGTAAAGAATACACCCTTCTGGGTCATCTCCCCAGTGATCCACCTCCAACAAGGCCTCATCTCCTAACAGCACATTCAGCTATGAACTCATCAGAGACGAATCCATTGGTGAGTATAGCACCCAATCACCTTCCAAACACATGAGACTCTTGGGGAGTATTTGAGATCTAAACCATAACAGTGATGAAAGGAGATGTCAGAAAACTGCATTCCAAGCCTGGAAAACCACCAGTCCAGATTGGAATGGTGTGACTCAAGAGCTAGGTATGTCAAAAGATGTCATCAGTATGCCCTCTGCCTTATACTATCTTAAGTAATGTGAAAATATCAAACAAACAGACTTAGCTTTGGAAAAGTCTGGGTGACTGACTAGACCTTCCAAGCTAAAGCAGATGTTCTTAAAGCTATAGCCTATGATGACAGGGCTAAGGAACTCACTTCACTCTTAAGTTTTGGTTCCATAGTGATGGTAACATGGTGGTTATGCTGGGTTCTGGGGCAGAGAGAGGAAGGACTGGAAGAGTGATGAAAAGAA